TTTAACTTTTTTAACATGTGATCTCCATAGCTCTTGTCTATGTTGATTTTGTTTAACTTTTTTAACATGTGATCTCCATAGCTCTTGTCTATGTTGATTTTGTTTAACTTTTTTAACATGTAATCTACGTAGCTCTTGTCTATGTTGACTTTGTTTAACTTTTTTAACATGTGATCTCCATAGCTCTTGTCTATATTGACTTTGTTTAACTTTTTTAACATGTGATCTCCATAGCTCTTGTCTATGTTGATTTTGTTTAACTTTTTTAACATGTAATCTACATAGCTCTTGTCTATGTTGATTTTGTTTAACTTTTTTAACATGTAATCTACGTAGCTCTTGTCTATGTTGATTTTGTAGTTTCCTTACATTTTGTACAGGAAATTGAACGGCTCTTGTGTGGTGTAGAGACAAAACAGTGTGTGAAATGTGTGAAGAGTGGCCAACTGGATGCAGTTGTAATGTGGTTTGTACTGACACTGTATCGGGACATCTCTCTATCTAGCAGTCCAGACTCTGGCAGTTGCTGGGAACAAGCTGTGTTTCCTGTGTCCCCCTCTGATGGTAGAATATTATGTTCATGTTACCGACTTACGTTAAGAACAATTTCACAGACCAGTAAGGAGTATCGTTTTATAGATAATGCAGTATTTTGGTGTTAGGTTCTAAAAACCTTAATAAGTGTGTTTCTAATTTTATCTCATTAAGGTAACTGCGTTCACAGAAAGTAGTTTCATATCTTATCATCGGAAAGCACTGTAAGCACTAAATTTGATTTCTAAACTTACATCTGAAAATCATAGTTAATCTGTTTATCTAACTGTCATGTTTGAACTTTTATTGTAGTGGGATTAATTTCTTACACATGTCTGTTTCCAGTTGATTCACGGGATATTGAAGAAGGAAGTAGTGTCGTCGTATCGGCTGTTTGTCACGAATACTTACAGCTTTACTGTTCTCAAGTTCTTCCCCCTGTGAAGCAAGAAACGAGTTTTGTTCAACCTCTAAATAATAGATTAGACTCTTTAATCAGTGCTCGAGAAACTAAAGCACAGAAACATTTAACAGACCCTAATCAGCAGAAAAACTTAAACGTTAATATGACCAAACCTCTAAATATGGATCGCTTAAATAAACCTACTATTGAAGTGAACTCGGAGGTGCTGAGGTTGCTGAATGACAATATAACTAACACCCTACAGTTTGAGATCATCTCGGACATGGCAAGACAGGGAGCACTGGGTACACTGATAGATATGTGTAACTTCCCATACGTGGGACTCGTAGCAGCAAAACTGGGAGCACGACGAGTGATGCTAACGTGTGTCAAGGAAAAATGCACAGTTATTCGGTTAGCCAAGATCTTGGATATTCCACTAGATAAGCTGCTCTTCACTTCTGTGGAACACCTACATAGTCAGTCTGTTCATCCAGATGTCTTTATATCCAATATAGTGGAGATGTCGGGACTACCCAACTTTCAGGTTCTTCACAATATTGCAATTTTAAGGTAAGGTAGAGTGGGTACATGTTCTCTTCATTACTATAGTATCATAATATAAATATTATGTACATTAGAAGGTGGTGTTTATTTTCCAGCTCTTTATAATATTGATGTATATTAGAAATAAATTTTGTTTATTTTTAGGTTCTTGACAACAGTGTATAATATTTATGTATGTGTTTGAGTTCAGCTACTTTATTGTTACCATGTAAATTACACGTATATTGTTCTTCTTTATAGGTTTTACTGTTTGAGTACTGATACTGTATTGTTACCATGTAAATTACATGTATATTTTTCTTGTTTATAGGTTTTACTGTTTGAGTTCAGCTACTGTATTGTTACCATGTAAAATACATGTATATTGTTCTTGTTTATAGGTTTTACTGTTTGAGTACTGATACTGTATTGTTACCATGTAAATTACATGTATATTGTTCTTGTTTATAGGTTTTTACTGTTTGAGTACTGATACTGTATTGTTACCATGTAAATTACATGTATATTGTTCTTGTTTATAGATTTTACTGTTTGAGTACTGATACTGTATTGTTACCATGTAAATTACATGTACACTGTTCTTGTTTATAGGTTTTCCTGTTTAAGTTCAGCTACTGTATTGTTACCATGTAAAATACATGTATATTGTTCTGTCATTGAGAGCTGGGAGTTGATGGAACAAGCAAAAGTGGCTGGTGATGAAAGGACTCTTGGTTTGAAGATTTCACAATTCATTAATACTTTTACGGTATGTACAATATTCTAGTAAAAGATGAATCTGTTTGTACGTTCAAGGTTTGTAAGTTATTGTAGTAAAGATGAATTTGTTTGTACATTCAAGGTTTGTAAGTTATTCCAGTAAAAGATGAATCTGTTTGTACATTCAAGGTTTGTAAGTTATTGTAGTAAAAGATGAATCTGTTTGTACATTCATGGTTTGTAAGTTATTCCAGTAAAAGATGAATATGTTAATACATTCAAGGTTTGTAAGTTATTGTAGTAAAGATGAATTTGTTTGTACATTCAAGGTTTGTAAGTTATTCCAGTAAAAGATGAATCTGTTTGTACATTCAAGGTTTGTAAGTTATTGTAGTAAAAGATGAATCTGTTAATACATTCAAGGTTTGTAAGTTATTGTAGTAAAAGATGAATCTGTTTGTACATTCAAGGTTTGTAAGTTATTGTAGTAAAAGATGAATCTGTTTGTACATTCAAGGTTTGTAAGTTATTGTAGTAAAAGTGTGCACTGTTGTACTTTAGTACTGCCACAGTAAGTGTAGTGTTGTGCAGTAGCTGAAATAACCAAAACATTGCCAACATTTTTTAATATAGCTAATACAAAGCTCTCTGTTTGTTACTTACATTTAATAAGTTTACTAAGTTATCACTGATTTAACTTGGTAGTACTTCTTTATACTAAAATAATTACTGGTCATTCAAAACAACAATTTTATAAGTAATGTTTTTTTATAGACAAGAATACACCAAGATGTTGATCTTCACACCCTGCATCACACCAGACTAACAGATGACTTACTTCTTTTTGATATTCATTTGGGTCAAGTTGAACCTAACCTTGCTGGTGAGCACAAGGTGACAGTGACCTCGCCTGGCATGGTTCATGGCATTCCTTTTTGGTTTTCTCTGGAATACCCTAACGGTCAGCACGTTTGGACATCGGACATCAGAACTCATTGGCTCCAGAGTGCTTGTATTGTACAAGAAGAAAAACAAGTAACCAGAGGTGAAATACTACATGTTTGTTACAGTTGGTCGAGGGAGGACTTTGATCTGTGGATCACATAGGTTTGTTACAGTTGGTCGAGAGGGGACTTTGATCTGTGGATCACATAGGTTTGTTACTGTTGGTCGAGGAGTGATTTTGATCTGTGGATCACATAGATTTGTTACTGTTGGTCGAGGAGGGACTTTGATCTGTGGATCACATAGGTTTGTTACTGTTGGTCGAGGAGGGACTTTGATCTGTGGATCACATAGGTTTGTTACTGTTGGTTGAGGGGGGACTTTGATCTGTGGATCACATAGGTTTAAATTTTGTATGTGCAACAGTAAAAGGCAGTGTTTCTTATACAGTTAGACCTGGAACTGCATAAGGAGAAACTGATTTACTGTCTAGGATGAAATTCACGAAACATTCTAAGTACAAAACTGTGAAGTTTGGTTTCGAATGCAGTTGGCCTCGAAGATTTTTCACTGTATCCTTTTGAAGAAAATGTGTAAGAAACAGTTGATGAAGAGACCTCATGTACTTCTTTACATATGAAACTAAATAATAAAAGGTGTGGGTTATCTTACAAGTTACTAAAAATACTGAAACCTCATTAAATATTGTTTTAAGATGTCACGGTAAGAAAGTCATAAAACATAACAGTTTTGATGCATTTTTTTAAAGAGTACAGTTGGATTTTCACCTATTATTATAAGTATGTATCTCCAAATGAGGTCTGAACATTTGAATAATATGTGATAATTCTAAACATTTGGGTCTTTTGTGGAAGAACATTTTTTAGACTTAGAGAAAGAAAGAAATCAGCATTTAGAATATGTTCTAAAATTTTGGATTATTTTTATGTTATAGAAAAACTGTGTCTGATTTAAAAACAAAGTACATTCATAAAAATATCTTCATCTGATTCCTTTTTAAAAGCTAGCAAGTTGAGGTGGATGGCCTGTACTTTGGGTAAAACAAACTATAATTCTCTGTGGAGTACAGAATGTTTCAGTCATAAGAAATGGTTGGTTTCCAATTGAGTTGAATTGTTTCACAAAACAGGATTTATGTGTTCATCAAATAGTTGAAATAAACAGTACAGGGTGCTTTATAATTTCCAATAAAGACCTGAGTATGGATACAACAACTAATTCTATTTTAAATAAATTAATTGATGTCACTTACTGACTAAGCTCCGTATATTTTTCTAAATCAACTCGAGTTACTCATCACATAATTAATTCATTATAGCTAAATTACTGGTTCAATACCTGATTTTCCCTCCTTGTTAAGGTGAAAACTTGTAACAAATGGTAATCAGACTGATGGCTTCATTGTTTATGAACTTTCACGTTTTTCTCACAGTACAAAACATTGTAATCCTGTAACTGGAAATTATTGTTAGAAATATATTGTTATAAGCTGTATTTTTAATGTTGTAACTTGTATGTTTGCTGGAGGATGTATCACATTAAGATCATGTGTTAGTCCTAGAATGTTCAGGAATATTAATGAACAAGAGGCTTTGCAAAATATGAAGAACAAGGATTAGATTATAAATATATGGTCAGTGAAGCATCAAGGAGTTGGAGAGTTGTTTCCTAGCTGCTAGATTTGTACAATTAAGTTGATTTTTATATTAGTTTAGTGCAGATAGCATAACTGTAAGTGTAAGCCTACAACAAGTTACAAAGTTTACAAGTCTGTAAATATACATTACGGAGGAAATAAAATGTATTTGTTATTATTACATGGACTGGACATTGAATTATTTTTACCATATAATTTAAAAGAACCCATGAACCAAACAACAACATTTCAACAGTATTGAATATTGTGGAGTGGGCTTATATTAGATGTGTGAAATCTTAACAGTTCTAGATGTTTTCAGCAGTGAAAGATGAAATAACTTTTATAAGGCACACCAAGAAATCTGTTTGCAAAATCTGAGGTTTAGTAAAACAAATGTTTAAACTGTGTTGATCCTAACTGAGGTTTAACAAAACGAATGTTTAAACTGTGTTGATCCTAACTGAGGTTTAACAAAACGAATGTTTAAACTG